ACTAAGGGTGTGGGTGTGGGTCAAGGGGGAAACAACTGACTCCAGTCCTTGGAGTCAAGTGGAGTCACAAAGAATCTCGTAAAATTCTTGTCTACGTTCAGAAATCCATTATAAAAATTTGAGTCCGCTATTTTTTTATTTATTTCCATCATGTGTACTATCAGATGAAATATTAAATAGTCTTGATTTAGAGACAAATATACCATCTTTCTCTTATTCTTATTCAGCACATTCATTTATTCTAAAACTTCAATGTCAACAAAATATTGCTTATTTTATTGGAAAAATACAAGAAAGTGTTTCATAAACAAAAAAGAATCAATTTTTTTTATTAGTCTGCTGTACTCGAAGCAATCGGTCATTTGAAATTTTACTTTTTTCGCCGGTTAATAACCAACAAGCAGTTTGTTTATGCATATATTTTGTATCATCATTGATTTTAACTTTAAAATAAGAATGTTCTATGTGAGACTGGACCGTATTAAGGGCTTTCATCCCGACAAAGTCTTCTTTTCTTGTATCTATTAAATTTCGAGCATCATCTTGTTCGTCCTCATCACTATAATCATCATTATTGTCATCATCCATGTTGAGATCAGTTGTTGTTTCGTCATTATCATCATCATCAGCTATTCCAAATTCTTCATCATCCATATTGATCAGTTGAGGTGAGTAGTCATACATCTTTGAATTTGAATTTAAGTGTTTAAACACATACTCACTTAATAATTTTAAACCAAGAACACGCTTATCTTTCAATAAATTCAATATTTCTAAGCCACTAAGCATATCAATAGCTTCATGATAAGCCTCGGTGATAATTTGTTCGACATTTATTTGATCAATCTCTGTTTGACTTTGTGTAAATAATGATTGACGACCATGTCGATGCTTGTAATGAACTGGAAAGACTAAATTATTAACTGATTCATCATTTAACTGTTTGAACTTAATATCATTCAGCAGTGATAATCTTTGGGCACGTCGTAAAAAATCGTACACAGTGAAATTGACTACAGTGGAATAGATTTCACTTAATGCTCGCGTGTTTCGGAAAATCGATTCACAGGCTTGCGAGCTAAAAGTATGAATATGTAATGCCTGCGGTGGTAATTGTTTTTGTTGAACAAGTAAAATTAAATATAATAAATTATGTGCATTTATTTCCACGGACAAATGTGCTGGTCTAGTAATAAAATATCTGCTTTTGTTTTTCTCTGTGGATTGTGTTGAATTGAATGTTTTCAATTTAATCCATGTTAACCATATTCGGCAGAAAAATACGACGCACCAAGCAGATAGAAGTCCTAAAATAAAATTTTATTACATGTGATATATCTTGAGTGAAGAGTGACATTCTCACTCAGTCAATATGATAAAAACGCATACTCACGCTCAGCAATCGTTGTTTTTTTCTCAACATAAGCCACTATGATCATTTTTAACATTTGAAGATAAATCAGGGTTCCCCGAGTATTAACGTCATCATTTTAAATTTTAAATAGATCATTAGATGTTAATTTCAAACAAGAACTAAAGTTTTGACGATCTTTAGGGTTAATATCCGATTTTGTTAATCCATGGTCAAGTTTGGTATAAGCTACATTTTCAATAATATCACGTAAATGATTGATTGATATAAATTGATTACCAAGACATAATTCAGCTGTTGTGGATAATAAACGATTACGCCATTTAGTTACCAAATGTGTTGTGTGTTGAAAAAACAATAATAGTTGTTGTTCACGTAAATAAAACCAAGACCAATGTGATGTTGTTTTTATTTGAAAAGCTTGCAAATGTTGATGAACTTGAAAATTAGGGAGAGACCTAAAAAAACACTCATTAATCTCATGGTACGCACATATTTAGCATCAGCATCTATTAAAAACAAACAGTTACTCTTTAGTAAGATTGGAATTAATAATATTTAATTATTTTCTCACCAGTAGAAAAACCAATAATTCTTATATTTCTTTGTAAACACTGGTTGAATATATAACACCATCTTTGTAATATATCATTCACTGTAGCTGTATTATCAATTCCATAAGCTGATAATAAAAAAGGACTTGGAATAATGGTTTGATTTGTGGACTGTACTGGTTGGATCATATGGACATTTAGTAANATATCAAAAGATGCGGAATCACATGATCTTTCTAATGGTGAAAACCGCAGATCGATAGCTATAACGGTTCGAAAGTTATTTAAAAAACAATCACCCTTCTTTTAATTAGAAATGGACATTAATTTGTATGAAATATGGATTATTTAATGGGTTAGCTCAAGGATGACTCTTGGGTTAACCCACAAGATATACCTGAAATTTGTTATGGGTGGGTCAGGGGTGGAACTATACAAATGGTCTACTGAAGCTACTGGTTTCAGTTAGGACTGACACATGGAAGCCGTAAGCCAATGAGTACTCGTACGAACCCAACCCAGTCGGTAACTCTGACTCACATAGATCGATTCAGTTGTGTGGTGATTTCAAATATGACAATTGTCTGAAGTCAAATGGGGTTTTTCTATTCGAAAACCATAGAATATTAGTCAACAAAGACGCAAACAGGCTCTCAAGGATAGGGTTTGGGCAAAAGTACTTTTCTAGATACGGGAATTCAAGTCGAAAATAGTTTCATCAGAAAGAGCATATTGAGTTGCATATTGGTTTAAGAAATCTAACCGCTGCATCTGTAGAAACTAATTTCGTATGGCTGAAAAATTATGAGAGATAATATTTTCCAATCGGGACAGTATTTGCTAATTATCGATAGAAAAAAAAACGAATATTCAACAGGTTCTAATATTCTCTGATAGAGAAAAAGATTATGCATAAATGAACCTATTTTCGACAAAATAGAATCGTATTTTAATGAACTTTCTGATCAAAAGCTCGTTTTTAAGGCGTTCAGGGAGTGCTGCAGATCTTTCTTATTATCTGAGTACTTTTGAAAAAAAAATATTTGTAATCAGCGCACTTGGTACTGTTGAACTATAAAGACTTGTAATAGAATGGCGACAAACATTTTTTTCGATACCTGAAGGAGATCCCAGATGTGAAAAATTGAATTGTGATAAAGTAGAAAATAAAATTATGAAAAAGAGTTAGGGTTCAATGCTGATTCTCAAGATAATAAAATTAGGTTCAGATTTTTCGAGCACTCGGCCCGTAATTCGATGCAACTTTTAACGTATTGCAATGTGATTAATGCGTGATAATGAGTTTATAAATCAATAATAATCAACTACATGCTTTACTTTATCTTATTTTACTTCATCTTACTTTTTCGGTAAAGTAAGAGATACTTTACTTTACTCTACTTTACTTTACTCGATAAAGTAAAGATAAAGTGCTACCACTAATTGTGAATTAGTAGAACTAGAATAAAAGTCATACGTGAGTTCCACATTTTACCTTTGAAAGGACTGCGCTAACAAGCTTTTTCTCCAAGCGGGAATATTTCAAAATTCAGCAGCAAAAATCTTGAAAGAAGAAATCTAGAAAAGTTCGGTCTAGTTGTTGCATATGTGAGAGTCTGTGCACCGTTTATCATTCTTCTAAACCGCGTGAACTGCTAAGCAACTGATGGCTCTCTGATAGTGCAAAAAGAATGGATCATGGGATGGACCGTTTATTGGGTCTATTTCAATAATTTCTTTATTGTCAAAATCACTAGATAGACAAGAAGCATTGCTTGAATAAATGTGGAAATTTAATAATGTCGATTACTGCTGACTCGATGTTTGAGCGTGCCAGAAGTAACTGAGCACGAGTTGCATCTCTTGCCACCGGTGATGATATCAGCGTTCAGTATGACGGCTCCTGTTCGTGCGTACACAGAACCAGAATATTGGATATTGACTGCAAACCCGACGGATGCATAGGCGAGAATGTTTCCAACAAATTTACTGTTTTGACCTAGCGTCGCGCTGCTGCCTACCTGCCAGAAGATGCAACTGGCTTCCGCGCCGTTAATCGCTATGACTTTACTATTGCCCGAGGTCACGAGCGTGCTGCCAATCTGAAATATGTAAACACCTGCCCCGCTCAATGTTAAAACACCTGCGGGTGTGCTGATGGCAGCGGCCGAGTTGAACTTGTACACGCCTGGTCCAAGTGTCTTGCCAGCGAGGTCAACACCTGTCATTTGTACAGTGGGTGCTATCCCCTTTAAATAATTGTAGGCCGTGGTGACGTGATCTTGCGCATGTTCAGCGACATCAGTGCCCAATGCAGTGACGCCGTTGATCACACCAAATGGATTAAAGCCAGTCAAGGAGATACCTGGACTGATGGCTAAGTTACCGTTGATTATAGTCAAGCCGTCGTTGCTAACCGTACTCGCACCGATCACTGCAAAGTTGGCAGCAGTTCGCAAATTTGGACAAATTTTCATACTAGTCGTAGCAATAGCCAGACACAGCAGAATACCAGAAGTTGCATTGAGTTTCATTTTGTGTAAAGTGCTTTTTTTCGATTGATGAATGAATACAAGGAACGAAAAGCGAGATGTATGTGATATTTATACGTATAATTTTGACTCTCGTAATGCGTTGATCTTTTTTTCGGAGCGTAAAGAGGAGTAGTTGACACGCCGCTGTCGGGTAAAAGCATAGAGGACGATAAAATAGTGGTTATATAAATCGTTATTGATGAATCGTGAGAGACGTTTTTCATTCATATAAGAGTGTACGCGTTAACCTGAATCTTTTTCTTTATTCAAGAATTGACAAAAAAAGCAAACAACACCAGCTCACGTCTTATTTATGCAAATTATATGTTTGGAATAGCAATTAAGCGATGAAATCATTCAAGGGGATACCATCAAGTCGATGTATGACAAGTATCGAAGACCTGGAGAACGTATATTTGGCATGGATTATTGTGTATACTTACATCGTTCTCTCAATCTTCTGGCAGCAGCGCCCCAGCACCACTAATGGATACAGAATGACGGGTGCATTAATACAGAAGGGTGAATGAAGACAGTTGCTTCTGAAAATATGCTGAGGTGAACCATGCTAACAATTTTCATGTCCCAATTGCATATCTATAATCCGTCTTTTACAGATAGCTCGTTTTATAGTTTCTTCTCAGACATTGGCGCAAGACGGTTATCATTGAACAGGAACCTGTAATTCAACAGTGTTCAACGTTTTCGTTTTTTCGTTTCATCTATTATTCATTTACATACCCGCACTTAATTTTCGTGGTCGTTCTTGTACTCTCATTTGTCGCAATATCACTTGGAGTGCACCACTCCTCGTCGAGCTCTTCAGTGTCGTGATCGAAATATTGCGATGGTGTTCGTTCACGGCAATCCACTAATTTGCACTATTGGCTGTCTCTAGCGATCGCTGTATGCGAAATTGTATATGATCAGAAAGGCAAAAGATGATCAAGCTATCAATCAGTTCTTCTATTTAACTGCGGATTTTCTTTCATTTGATCAGCTAAATATTCGTGAATTATCCGAGTATGTCCGGTATTGCGTTATACGACGAAGCATATTTGAGGTGGTGACAATGCAAGGGAGAAACGGCAGACTCCAGTCCCTTGGATTCAGGTGGATTGAAGTGGAGTCTCATAAAATTGTTGCCTATCTTCAGAAATTCATTATAGAAATTTCATACCGCTAGTTTTTTACTATTTTCTCTGTCATGTGTAATGTAATATCAGACTAATTTTTTATTACTCTTGATTCAGAAAGAAACATCTACCATCTTTATCTTATTCGTATTCAGCCATGCTTTATTACAAAACTTGAAAGTCAGAAAAAATGTTGCCCATTTTATTTAAAAAATCCAAGAAAGTGTTGCATAAAAAAAAAACAATTACATTTTTTTATTAATCTGCTGTACTCGAAGCAATCGGTCGTTTGAAATTTTACTGTTTTCGCCGGTTAATAGTCAACAAGCAGTCTGCTGGTGTAGGTATTTTATATCATCATTCACCGTAACTTTAAAATAACAATGTTCCATGCGAGGCTGGACCGCATTAAGGATTTTCATTCCAGCAAAGTTCTCTTTTGTTGTATTTATTAAATTTCGAGTGTCACCCTGTTCATCTTTATCATAGTAATCATCATTAGAGCAAAAATCATCATTGTTGTCATCATCTACGTTAAGATCAGCTGTTGTTCTATTATCGGCATCATCATCATCAGCAGCAGCAGCAGCGATTTCGAATTCTCCATCATCTATATTGCTGAGTTGAGATGAACAATCGTGCATCTTTGAATTTGAATTTAACTGTTTAAATACGTAGTCACTTAATGATTTTAAGTCAAGAACATGTTTATCATTCAGTAAATTCAATATTTCTAAGCCATTGAGCATATCAACAGCTTCATGATAAGTCTCGGTAATAACTTGTTCCACGTTTATTTGGTCAACCTCTCTTTGACTTTGCGTAACTAATGATTGACGATCATGTCGATTTTGTAATGAACTGGAAAGACTGAATTATCAACTGATTCATCATCTAACTGTTTAAATTCAATATAATTAAGTAGTGATAATCCTTGGGCACGTCGAAAAAACATCATGCACAGTGAAGTTGACTATAGTTGAATAGATTCCACTTAATGTTCGTGTGTTTCGGAAAATTGATTCGCATGCTTGTTAGCTAAATGTATGAATATTCAATGCTTGTGGTGGTAATTCTTTTTGTTGAACAAGTAAAATTAAATATAATAAATTATGTGCATTTATTTCCGCCGACATATATGCTGGCCTAGTTATAAAATATCTGCATTTGTTTTTTTTTCTGAGGATTGTGTTGAGTTGAATGTTTTCAATTTAATCCATGTTAATCATATTCGGCGGAAAAATATGATGCACCAAGCATGTCGAAGCCCTAAAATAAATTTTTATTACATATGATATATCATGAATGAAGAGTTCGACGCTTTCGCTCAGTTAATATGGTCAGTACGCATACTTACGTTCACAAATCGTTGTTTTTTTGTCAATATAAGCCATTATAATCATTTTTCATAGCTGAAGATACATCAAAGTTCCTCGAGTATTTACATTACCATTTCAAATTTCAAATACATCAGCGGATACTAATTTCAAACGGGAACTAAAATTTTGACGATCTTTAGGGTTTATATCAGATTTTGTCAAGCCATGATCAAGTTTAGTGTAGTTTTCATTATTGATAATGTCATATAAATGATTAATTGATATAGGTTGATCATCAAGACGTAATTCAGCTGTTGATGATAATAAACGACTACGCCATTTCGTAACTAGATGTGTTGCGTCTTGGAAAACAATAATAATTGCTGTTCACGTAGATAAAACCAAGGCCAACATGACGTTATTTTTACCTGAAAAGCTTGTGGGTATTGATGAATTGGAAAATTAGAGAGATAAGCAAAAAATCCACTCATTGATCGCATCGCGCGTACATATTTAGCATCACCATCTATAAAAAAAATAGTAACTGTTTAGTAAGATTTAAATAAAAAATGCTTAGCTATTTTCTCACTAGTAGAAAAACCAATAATTCTTATATTTCTTTGTAAACACTGGTTGAATATGTAGCACCATCTTTGTAATATATCATCCGCTGTAACAGTATTATCAATCCCATATGCTGATAGTAAAAAAGGGCTTGGGATGGTGTTTTGGTCCGTGCATTGTATTGGTTGTATCATATGCACATTCAATAATGATGCTTCCTTAATTGAGTTGAACCAGAACTTCAATGTATCAAATGAATCAGTTTGATAATATTCTTTAATTGGTACTCCACGATCGAGTGGTGTAGGAAATCCATGGAATGTATTTGTTGTTGAATTATATTTTATTTTTTTAATTACACCGGTAGTATCCTCAGAACTGAATACATATTGAACATTAAGGTTCTCAAAATGGTTTTGAAGCTGGTCAAATCGAAATTCTGCTTCACTAATTTTTTGAATTTGAATTCGAAATTAATGTATTAAACATAGTTAAATTCGGTAAAGATCCTGGCAAAGGACGGGGGCGCATAAGAACAGGAATCCGCCCACCAACAAATTCTCATAAGAAGTTTATTTTCCGATGCAGAATTTTATGGCGAATCTTTTGATGCCAAGTTCAATATATTTTCGAAACCATTTGATGCCCTTCGGCCCATGCCAATTATACCATATTTTTACCCAGTGCAGAGCGATTATGTTTGTCAAAACATTATTTCATAAAGCTTCAAATACGCTCATTTGAAAGAGCGTAGAATTATGCACAAAACCGTCTATGAACCAGCTAAAAATAATCAACATCAGTAAAAATTCCTTAGCAAATACTATGTTTTCACCCACATTTTTGGGAGGTCATCGATTTTCACGCAGCTGAGTCAATTAGGAATTGGTCCTAAGATGGAGTTTCTTGTTCATGGTCAGATGCAGTTTTCGACGGACTACACGATGGTGTTATTTTTATCTCAAAATTTCATTGGCCAAAAAATTTCACAAGGACAACGCCGCTGGCAAGAGGGATTTTTTCATATGTATCCTTCCTTGTGGGTTCCAAAGTGCTTAAGAAATGTCTTTAGAACGGACTTTCGTCTTCATGGTCAGATGCAGTTTCCCACAGACTACACGATGGTGTGGTTTTTATCTCGAAATTACATAGGCCAAAAAATTTCACAAGGACAATACTGCTGAAAAGAGTGACTTTTTCAAATGTATCGTTCCTTTTGGGTTCCAAAGTGCTTAAGAAATGTCTTTACGATGGACTTTCGTCTTCATGGATAGATGCAGTTTTTCATGATCTACACGTCGGTATGGTTTTCATATCAAGATTTCATTGGCCAAATTTTTTCTAAGGTCAATACCGCCCGAACTGGCAGTTTTTTCGATTTCAGGCTTCAAAGCCACTTCTAAAGTGCTCCAGACACCACTTTACGACGGACTTTCCGAATTAGCGATTGGATGCAGTTTTTCACGGGCTACAATTTGCTGCAGTTTTCATTTCCAAATTTCATTGGCCAAAAGTTTCCCAAGGGCAATATCGCGTGAAATGCCAGTTTTTTCGTTTCAGGTTTCTAACCACCGTGAATAGTGGTTTAGAAGCCACTTTTGATGGTCTTTTCAGTTAAGTGTTCGATGCATCTAGAGTGCGGTTAGACCCTCGTGCAGGTTTGTCCACAGTTTATTGGCAAGAACATGGCAAGAGCTAATACTGCCTATCATTCGAATGATATGTGCTGTGAGGGTGGAAGATAGCGGTACAATAAAGCCAAGACCTTCCGATTTGGCGTAGAAAAATTTGGGCTTTGTTTCCCCTTGGATTAGTACTTCGACTTGAGTGTGGGTGTAATCTTAAATTACCCAAATCTGAAGACACGGTGTAAGATAAATATCAGAAGCGAGAAAGCAATGTGAAGGCTTCCAATTCGATTTAAAATTGTTTGGATTTGGATGCGCTATTTAAGATTTGGTTGTAGATCTGGGCTTTTGATTTGGCTGTTACATTCGGATTTTGTTTCGTTGTAACATAAGTCCAAAGTTGGGATCATTTCGGTCTAAGACCCCAATCCAAACCAACTCCAAAGTCAAGTCAAAATTCCCAACAACAGCTGAATGCTAAGCGGTACCTCCAAACGATGCTCACAATCCGGAGCCCCCAATCGAAACGAAATCCAAGAGCAGAACTAAATCTCAGAGATTTGTCGCAAATCCAAAACCTATTTGGGATTGATTGCATCCTTCCGGGATAGAGGTACTGTATTCATATTATCAAGTTTCACGTGAATCATGTCGTTCTTTGAACTCGTGACATGTTATTCAGACTTGCTCAGGCGTATCCCAGTGGAAAATTTTCGATGAAGAATCCCATTTTTGTGAAACAAAATCAACATTTTAATCGATTAAGTAGATTTCCTTTGTTTCCTCACAAACGAAATCCATTTAATGGATTAAAATCTTGATTTTGTTTCACAAAAATAGGATTCTTAATCGAAAATTTTTCACTGGGATGTGCAATGGCATGCACTACCAAATTTGCAACAGTTACAACCCTTGACCAAGTTCTTATCAATCCCACTTCAACCAATCAACCAACTTCGAATGATTTTCACACAATCCTATAATTAATCTTTACCTCCACACAATAAACATCAACTTCCTGTGCCGAATGAGAACGCATATAATTAAAATACTAGGCAGTACTTCCTTTTGCATAATATTCCCAATAAAATGTGGAAATGAACACTATG